TTAAAGGCAGAGAGCCAGCTCTAAAATCAGCAGGACTCCTAGATTTGTATGGTTCAGAAGTCCTCTCCAGATGAAAATAAAAGAGACCAGCGCACCTGAAATGACATTTTACTCAAAGTTTTAATCCCACAATTGATTTCTGGAGAAAAGAGAACTAACAGTGGCAACGATTCAGGGATCTCTTAACACAAGTGCATATATTGTCATATAACTCTGAATCGTCAGGAAACTGAGGAGAAAATGTTGGCCAAAATGCAAAACCCAAGGTGACATATCGACCCAGAGCTAGAGAACTAAAAGATTCAGAATTGTAACCATCATTTTAAGAAGGGCTCCAGAGCAGACACAGAAATAACAAGGGCATCTCATTTTTATAACATGTAGGATCAACAAATACTTCAGAAAATGCTGTAAAAGGAGAAAAGCAAGAACGTTTGTGTAAGGAAAACATTCCCTATTAAATCTACTTAAATGCTTTTAGGGGATAAAGACGCCAACAAGAAACTAGCAAGGACTCCTTTTATTTAGACTTTCAAAAGCTTTGACAAGCTATCTTACCAAATTTAGTCATGGGGACTCAGTAGACTGCTTTATCACGTAAGAGAAACTGGTTCACAAGACAGAAACATCATGCCAGAAAAGAGGCTCATGTCCCAGGGGTTGAGGCTGAGATTATAAACGGTTGGAAGAAGGAGCACAGTGAAATCTTTACAACCAAAGATGATATTTAGCTCCTTGGAGTAAAGAAATTACCAAACTGATGAGGAAAAAAAAAAAAAAAAAAACACTAAAAGATGTAATTTTGCATGACAAAGCAAGAAAAAGGTAAATGAGTTTTTTAATTCAAGGGATTTTATTTCAGAACACACATCTAAATTTGAAATATATAATAATGCAAATATATGTTAATTGAGTTTCAAGTTATCTGTCATAAACCAAGGAAAAGGCTCATGACACAGGAAAAGGGAGTCATTATAGTAATTACAGTTGTCAGCTGCTCTGCAGGTGGAGCCCAAAGGCTGACATCATACTGCAGAAGCTGGGTTATAACATGATGTGATTAATAACCACCTCTTCATGTCCGCTTTGTGCCCAGCACTGTGCTGTGAGCTTCCTTTGTAGAGTGCCTATGAATTAGATACCGTTATCTCCATTTAGATGTAAAGAGACTGAGGATCAGGGGAACTGAGTACATCACCCACAGATAATGTGGCTAGTACGTGGTTGAGCCAGGATTTGAATTCATAGATGTCTTCTTCCATAGTCTGTACAGTCTTAGAAAGATGATAGGAAACCAAAGAGAAAAAAAAAAGTTGAAAGATGGAAAGAGAGGTGGGGGGGAGAAAGATGATGGTAATGATAATGATCATAGATAGAGACAGACTTATTTATGTCTATCTCTACTTTTCTCCCCATGAGAAAAGTATTCTTCCCTAAATCCAGAGTACTATGTATACTCTTGTTTCTTGGATCCCAGAAAGACGGAAAAGGCACCTGAAGAGACACCATCAAGGGGTGAGGAGATTTTCACGGTGGAAAGATGAATATTCAGAGGAAATACAATCTAAGCCTGTCAAGGCATGAAGGACAGAGATGAGAATGTTTTTTTAGTCTTGTTGTGCACCTGCACTGTGTGGGGTTTTGTGCTAGTTTTTGCATGCTGTCTCACGGAATACTCACACGTCCCTCCTTTGTTACAACCCCCATTCAACAGTGAGGAGGCAAGGTTTCTGAAGTGTTAATTAGCTTGTCCCCAACCCAAATCAAGTACCCATCAAATAACAAAGCAAAAATTTAGGCTGTGGGGAGCCTTTCTACTTCACTGAGGATTAAGGAAAAGAAAAAGGAAAAATCTTTTGAATGCATGGTGTGTGTTTTTCCTTAAAAAAAAAAGCGCTGGACGAAAACAGATTTCAGAACAATTTGTATAAATTCATAGACCAGATGCTCATGAAAGGTTATTAAGTCAAATTATGGAAATTCAGGCATATGTACAACTTTAAATTTAACCTCCTATGGGATAATGATCTGATTTTTCTGTGACCTCTCCTCTGGTGTTTTTGTAAACAATACTACTAGATCAGTGGGCTCAGGTCTACTCTGGAAGACAATTCTGGCAGAAATAGAACCATCAGACAGGAGTTGTGAGTCCAGTTCTGCTGCCAGCAGACAGTGGTGAGGTCCCAGGCTGGTTACATGTCCTCTATGGGGCATCCCTTGCTATAGCATGAGGATCTGGACCATTTGACCTTCAAGCTAGTTCAGCATTTTATGGAATCTTCAAGACCCAGAGGAGCCTGACCTGTCTGCCTTTCAAATCTCCCCACAACCTCTCCTCAGAAGTGTTTCAATTGGCTATTAAATGACTGATTAAAGAACATCATTATTACAGATAATTTTAATTATCCTACACAGTGAAAATCAAATCCCAGATCTACGGCCCCAGCCCAGCAAGGCTTCCAGCCGCATCCAGATGTCCCGGGCCACCAGCCAGCCATTAATCTGTGGGTGCTCCATGGAGCCTTACACAATTAGGGAAGCAGATCTGTCAGAACAATAACAATAGGAATGAAGAATGTCAAGGCTAAGGAGAAATTATTTTTAGATTTGCTACCTTAGATGATCTGTATTACTGCTCACATCCACATGTCCTCAGAAGAAATGTCAGCAAAGGGAAATCTGAGAATAGAAATGCCTAGGAGAGTACAGGTAATTTCTGGACAGGGGAAGGTAGGAGATGTGGGAAGAGGTTGTGTCTTATGTGAGAAGAATTTTTAGGAGAGTGATAAGTAAGGAAGACAGTATAGTGGATAAGACCATGGACTAGCAGGGACTAAACTGCTTGAGTGAAAACCTGGCTTTACCGCTAACTAGCTTCATGACATTTAACTCTCTTAGGCCTCAATTTCCTCACCGGTAAGATAGGTACAATAAGAGTTCACATAACTCATCAGATTGTTGCTAGGATTAAGTGAGTTAAATGCATTAAGTCCTTATGAGCATTTGCCTGACACTCTCTTAGCTATTATTGTTGAAGAGTGAGAATATAGACCTTCTGGCCCTGGAGGAGGAAAGGGGTGTTTTCTCTTCCCTCTGTAGCTTCTCCTACTAGGCTGGAGCCTGGTTTTGAATAGACCAAATTGCTGAAGTTGTGAAAGTGTCTTGTTTCCCTTCTCCCTCCCAGGGAAAAGACATTTCTAACATACATTCCTAGAGTTTGTGACAAATCCTCCTAAAAACTCTAGACAAAGTAGAAACACTCCTCAGTCTCCTTTTGATTGAACTAAACTGTCTGGCTTGCATTCCATGGCCTTGTTTGTAAACGTGGTATACCTTGAGCTTAGAGTTACTGGAGCCACTGCCCGGCCTTTCACGTCATCTCCATTTCTGTGAAGCATGAGCATGAAGGCGAAAGAATTGGACTGTCTGTGTTTCTCTACCCCCAACACCCTGCTTCTCTAAGGAGATGAAAAGGAAGAAGTCAAAGACCGAGGGGTGAGCAGAGGCGGAGTGAAGAGCGCTGGTTACTTCAACAGCGTCGTCCTGTCTGAACCTCCAGGACAGTCAGCCTTCTCTCTCTTGGTCACACCCACAGCTACGACACCTGGCAGCGAAGAGGCACTCAACACAGGTTTGTTAAATTTGTCCAGATGACTGAATATTGGGGGAAAAATGATGGGAAGTGATTCCACATCCCTCAGATGCACCCACAACCCCACCCTATTCCTCCTCCACTGCAATGCAAACATCTGTTTGAAGGCATTCCCCTCGGATGACAAAAAAAAGAGCACAGGTTGATGTTGATAAATAGAAATCCCCAGAACTATCTCAGAAAGGAGCATGAATAGCAAAAACCAAGCTCTCTGCATTCTTTCTGGTTCTTGCATCCAATTTACCTGTCGCCCGTGGCCCAGCTTTATCGCTGTTGCACTCTGTAGTGTAACAACGGGCACAAACTCCACTTCCAACACTGATTATAGACAGTGACTCAGAGTCACTAAGAGGAAATAATGGTTGAACTTACAATTAAAATCAAAAAGAGACAGCATTAGTAACTACTGGAAAAATCAAACTTCCTCCTCTAGTTGGCATGGCCTTGAATTTCTTACCACCTCATGTTCCCTGACTCCAGAGGTTTATAACAATTGCAGCCAACCTACATGCTATCAAATGTTCTCCAAATGTTGCCTGCATGAGTCACTGGATAATGCTTAGAAAGAGACTGTGTTCCGACAGCATATCTGGAATGTACTGCTCCCTCTGAAGGGCGAGTTAAAACAGATACACATCACTTTTTCTCATGCTGACAGAGTATTAATAAGACTGTTAGGACATATTGTTCCTGATGTGCCCGGTGAGGCCTCTCTGCTAACCATCCCCTGCTGCCTAAGTGTCTGCCTCAGTGCCAGGCACAGACTCGGGTCTCTATTTAAGGCTAAACCAATATGGACTGACTGACTGATGCCAGTGACCTTTTTTAACAACCTCAGATGGGGTCATGGGAAGTTCTGGATTCAGCCTCAGGAATGCAGATTCTGGTCCTAACTTTCTGTGAGCAGTTAAGCCCTTCATCCTGCTCCTCCCCAGTTTTGTTTTTTTTTTTTTTTTTTCCTCTTTAAAATTTTGAGGCTGAATGAGACGATGGCTAAGATCCTCATCTGCATTACGTCTTTGTGATTCTGAGACACTAGACAAGCAACTCAGAAGTGGCAGAGTAGAGCAGGGAGGAGGAAATAGAGCCTAAAGACACAGTTCCTGCCTCGGGGAGCTGAGGCTGAGGTGGACTAATACCGGTGGCTGTACAGGACCCACAACATACGTGGAGTCTGAAGAGAGGGGATTCTTCATAGGTGGAGGTCAGGAGAGATGCACTGTAAAGGAAGGGCCTAAAATCAAGGTTTCTTTGGAAGCAGCATGTTGAGAAAGCACCTGTAAGAATTCTAGCCCAGAGGCAGGAAAAACTGGACCATTGTTTAGAACAAGTTAATACGACGTCCCTCATGGGGAGGGGGGATGGGAATGGACCCATCAACCCACCTCCCTCTCTGCAGCCCTACTCCCTCCTACCCTCTAAATTCCACCCAGCCCTTTCTTCACCAGCAGCGCCCGAGGAGCGTAGCCCACAACGTCTCCCTTCCCGCATTTCTTTCCCACAGGTACCCCTGGGCAGCCAGTGCGCGGACAGCGCCCGCAATGCCACCATGCCCTGCGGCTTTCTCCCGCAGGGCTTCGCGGAGTTTCCCCACCTGGGGCCCATGCTCTTCCTGCTGCTGCTGCCCGTGCACCTGGCTACCCTGAGCGGGAACCTGCTCATCCTGGTGGCCGTGGCCTCAGTGCCCAGCCTGCCGCCCATGCTACTCTTCCTGCACCAGCTGTCAGCCATCGAGCTCTGCTACATGCTGGCGGTGGTGCCCCGCTCCCTGGCCCAGCTGGCCTCGCCAGGCCGCGGCCGAGGCAGCCCCATCTCCTTCCTGGGCTGCGCTGTTCAGATGCAGATGTTTGTGGCTCTGGGCGGGGCCGAGTGCTTCCTGCTGGCCGCTCTGGCCTATGACCGCTACGTGGCCATCTGCCACCCGCGGCGCTATGCGGCTGTGGTGACACCTGGGCTGTGCACGCGGCTAGCCCTGGCCTGCTGCTGCCTCAGGGGACTGGCGGTGTCCGTGGGGCTCATGGTGGCCGTCTTCAACCTGCCTTTCTGTGGCTCCCACCTGCTAGTGCATTTCTTCAGCGACATCACAGCGCTGCTGCACCTGGCCTGCACGCAGAGCTACGCGGAGGAGCTGCGTCTGCTGGGCGCCTGCCTGGTGCTGCTGCTGCGGCCCTCGCTGCTCATCCTGGCCTTCCATGGTGCCATCGCCGCCGCCCTGAGCCGCCTGCGCTCCCCACGCGGCAGGCGCAAGACCGCCTCCACCTGTGCCTCGCACCTGGCCGTCACCTTCCTCCACTATGGCTGCTCCACCTTCACGTACGTGTGGCCCAAGGCCAGCTACTCCCCACGACAGGATCGCACGCTGGCGCTGGTCTACACCGACGTCACGCCGCTGTTCTACCCGCTCATCTACAGCCTGTGCAACGGCAAAATCACGGCCGCCACCCGCTGGGTGCTGAACCCCAGGGCAGGATCTGTGTGGGCCATGATAGTCGGCAGGGACCAGGCCAGGGGGGCGGCTCTGCTCCCTAAAGTTCCCCCTATTAGCAGGTGTCTGCACTGAGGACGTCACCGGGAGAGCTCAAGAACCGGATTCAGAAAAGAGAATCTGGAAAAGTGTCCCCCTAAGGAGAGGCTCCCAACAGTTTCCCCATCCTCCGCCAGCTCTGTGTGGAATAGAAGCCGAGATCTGATTTGAGTGGACCCATCAGTGCCTGTAGAGTCCTTCCCATGTGCTGGGCTTGGGCAAGGTAGCAGGCTTGTGGCGACAAAGAGGCACAACTCATGCCCCAGGGAGCCCACGGGGAGAGAGGACAGATGTGAGGAGAAAACAGGAGACGGGTGGAGGGGCTCATGCTGGACTTTTCCAGGCGAGAGGGGAGTCAGGGAAAACTTCTTGGGGGGCAAAGATGGCTCAGTGGAGAACTGCAGGATGGGTAGAGGTCAGCCAAGCGAAGACGAGAGTGAAGAATGCTCCAAATGGAACTGGTTAGACAGGCGCGGGGCATTTGGGAAGGTCCTTGTAAAGCGCTGAGGGATTTGAGTTCATGGAGTGACACGACAGCTTGCCCCTCCTTGTGTGGTCACTGTGGCCACAGTGTGGCAAATGGACTGGAGGCATGGAGACCCATGGAAGCTGTTGCCACATTACAGGAGAGAGGTGATGGAGTCTGGACCAGAGTGTTGACGCAGCTGATTAAGGGGCACGGAAAGGATAAAGGGGTATGCAGGAGGAGGAAACCACAGAATCTTGATTGGATATGAGGGCGAGGAAGAAAGAGGAGCTAAGGATCATTTCTAACCTAGGTCACCAGGTGGATGGTGGTACAATCGCTGAAAAGGACACAGGAGCAAGTGCAAGTGAGGAGGGAGGAGGACGGGGACTTCTGCTTAGAACGTGTGGACTTGAGATGCTGCCAGGACAAGCCAGTGAAGATGGCAACTGAGGAAGCAAATACACCAGTCTAGAGCTCAGGTGGAGATTCAAGAGGGGGGACAGATTTGAGACTACAGACAGCTACTGAGACAAGGAAGTGATGCCACCCACCAGAAAGCTAATAATTGCTCTCTATGTGACAAGATTATAGGTGATTTATATTTTACTGATTAAATATTTTCCAAATTTCTCATAATCATTTTCAGTGGATATTACTCATATATAAAAATTACTATTTAAGACAAATAATACTGAAGTGCCTCAGTGAATCAGAGAGACTTCTTCCCCTCTATCCCCAGGATAAATACCTGAAAGATGTCTCCTGAAAGCTCTGGAGTGAAGTGGAAGGGAATTCTACCATGTAGTACAAGAGTAGGAGTGCACTGATGTGCTTTCATCTACCTTGGTAGCTTGGTGGAAATATTACCATCAAAGGTAAAGTGAAGAGACATTAAAAGGAAGAATTACTAAACACTCTGCCTTGTAAAACTGACCAGAGAGATTCCTTCGATGTGACTATTTCTATACAATGTTACGACATCAATATATCCTATAGTAAAGCGAACAAACTGGCACAAAACTTAGGCTACATTAGGAAAATTCTAAAATTTATTCCTTCATCCATATGCGCAACAAATAAATGTTTATTGAGTGACGGTTCCATGCCAGCGACTAGAGAGTTAAGGATTCAACTCTGATCAAAAGCCACTGTATACCTAACATGGCATTCCAAAGTATTGGAGCCGTGATGGTGAGGCCCATGTGGAGCTTGAAATCTGCTAGGGGATTCAGGCAAATAAATAGGCACTGCATTACTAAGTGATGAGTACTATGGTGTGACAAGATCCTGTGGGAAGCATTGTGCCTGGTCTTGAGGTGGTGGGAGCATCAGGAGGTCACGGAAGAAGTAATGTGTAAGATCTAAGGGCACGTTGTGATAGCTAGAGCCAGGCAAAGATAGCTGAGAAAGGAGAGTCCAGGCAAAGGGAACAGCATGCGCAAATGCCCCAAGGTAAGAGGCCATGATACATTCCAAGGACTCGTCAAGAGGACTGATTCTTATTGACGGTGATGTTGGGAAGTGGGTGCTGTGTGTTGATAGTATTAAGAGGTTATGCTAGAGGTACAAATGCAGGCCAGATCATGTAAGCCTTGTATGCCATGTTAAAGCGTTTGGATTTTACCCTAAAGAAGAATAAGAATAGAGAGGAGGGAAAAGAAGAAAAAAGAGACGCCATTGAAGATATCTGAGCAGGGGAGTGATATGATCCAGTCTGAACATTCTGACCACTGTGTAGAGAAGGAATTAAAGAAGGACATGACAGAAAGTATATTTATTAGGAAGCTGGTGTAGAAACACAGGTTAGAGATGATGTTGGCCCATTTTAGGTAAGTGGTAATGGAAATGGAGAGAAATGGACAGATTGGAGAACTATTTAGAAGGTAGATATAACAGAATTTAGTGCAGATCGAATGCTTAGGGATAAAAGGCAAAAAGGACTCACTGATGATATAGATGATCTGATCTGGAAAAGATGACACACTGGGCTCACTGAGATGGAGTACACAGGAAGAGTAACCAGTTTGAATACAGGACAAAGTTGAAATGATGAGTTCAGTATTGATTGTGCTGACCTGGGCTGTGCAGATGTACAGTTGGCAGTTGGGTATGTGTCAGGAGAAACACATTTAGAAATCACCAACACATCAATGGCAACTGACACGGCTGAGATGATCCAGGGGGAGTGAGCAGAGAAGAACAGAGCAGTTCCAAGATAGGACTCTGAGGAAGACCAACAATGAAGGATGGATGACTGTCTAAGTAAGACACAAATGCATAATTTATTAACTATATTAAGAAAGTAAAAACTTCATTCCTGGGACACTACCCTAAACGAAATGAAAAGAGAAAAGACAAACTGGGAAGATCATATCTAATGTATGAAAGAGGTTCATTTCATTAATACATAAGAAACTTTTGCCAATCAATGAGAAAAAGACTAACAATCACAAAGAAAAATGGGCAAAGGATATGAATAGACAGTTCACAGAAAAGGAAATGCAAATGGCTTTTAAACAGGAAAAGAGTTTCAACCTCACTCATAAGAGGAATGCAAAATAAAATTAGAAAATGCTATTTAGAGCACTTCCTGCTCAAAAATGTGAACACAGAGTTTGGAGGATATTTACAACAGACTCCCTCATACATAGTTGGTGGTAAAATATATTTGTTCAATTCTATGGAGGCCAATTGTGTACATCAATTAAACTCAGAATTAAAGAACGTATCATTTGTTCCAATAACTCTACTTTGAGAGTTTGACCTTGCCAATCAATGTATTTGCCTTGTGGACAAACATGTATATTCAAAAATATTTATCTCAGCATTACTTGCATCAGCAAAAGATTAAAGATTTTTTAAATAGTAGTATGTGACTGATGAAATAAATTATGGTTTTATCCCTATAACGGAATCTCATGCAATTGCTAAAGAGAATGAAGCAGTTCTATCTGTTATAGACCTGAAACCATCTCTCATACATGCTATTAAATGAAAAAGCAAGGTACATGGAAGTATGTACTAAGGAGTCATCCTTGATTCTGGCACATCTTTGATTCTGGCCTTTTCCTTATTATGTCCACTCCTGAAATGCTGCTCTTCATCATTCAGATGCTGTCTTGGCTCAGATATTGGCTTCTCATAGAGGCCCTCGTTGGTCACCCTACATAATGTCACCTGTCTGTCCTCTCTCACATTAGCATGCTTTAAATTCTAAATCATCTCTCATTACTGAAAATTCTCTTTCTTTTAAATGACTTTCTTTTAAATTGTCTCTTCCTCCCAACAGAATATAAACTCTATGAAAATTGTCTACTTTACTCACATGGTCTTCCCGGGGCCTAAACAGTGTCTGGCATGTAGTAGCTGCTAATTAGTAAATAGCAGTAAACTGTTAAAGAATGAGTGAATAAATAAATGTTACGGTATGATAGCATTTGCATATAAAAACACACAGAATATCATGTGTGTATGAGCATATGTGTGTGCTTGTGTATGTCCTATAGTTTTATACCCTCACACACACACACATTTGTAATCAAATTAAGAGTCTGCGGAACTGGGTGACAGAGGTGGAGCAAACTTTTACTTTTTTTAATACTTTCCTTAAACACATATGCATTATTTATTCAATAAATGTTTTCAAAAAAAATAAAGGCTAGGCAGAGGAAAAGGAATGCACAGAGGAGTTTTTTAAAAAGAGCAATCAAAAAAGTAGAAGAAAATCCAAGAGAGCATGATGTCATGGAAACCAAGGAAAGACAATTTCAAGGATGGAGTGATCAACAGTGCCAAATGATACTCCTATTTCTAAATAATATGATGCTGGAGCCAGAGATGACTTTAGAGATGTCTAATTTGGCCCAAAGAGCACCAAGCTCACTCGTACAAACCTCAACAAAGCATGTGTAAAGGCCTGGCAGCCAAACTACACAGCCCACTTCCAGAAAGGCTGTCTAGCCAGAGATCATGCAAGGACTGCCTGACTCCAGCCAATACGGAAGAAACATGTAGAACCAACTCAAGTTGTGTTTAATCACCTGCCGGAGTAGAAAGTAACACTGGCTTTCATTTTAAATGCTGAAATCATTAACACCTTTTTAAGATCTGTACCTGGGATTTGTTTTACTCTGGTACGGTAAGGTGGCAGACACAAAGACAACTGCCTTTGAAAGAAGAGTTTATAGCAAGGGAAGGGGGCAGGCCACACCACGCAGGGCCCATGGGGAAGCACCAGGTCAGTCAGGAGGCAGAAGGAGAGAGGAGAGAGCATGAGCCTCAGACACTACTGTGGTTTCTGAGGAAGGAATGGATTAGGCAGTGTAGGAAAGCTGGAGGAAACTTAGGCTTGGATAGTTTGAATAATTTTGGCTGGCTCTGGGCCACAGGACTGGTCTCTAGCTGTCCAGTCTACTTGACTTGGCCCTGAGGTGATACAGCAGGGAAGATGGTGGCTTGGTGCCTGAGAGGTCAATAAAGGTGATTGGGATGTGGGCTTTGGATTGGTTGGTTTGCAGACGAAAATTGTAATCAAAAGGAAGTTGGTTTGCAATGTCTAGAAATTAGC